GGGTCAGGGCATGATGGGGTCAACGCATGAAAGGCCGAAGCCCTGGCATGAGGGGTCAACGCATGAAGGGCCAATGCCCCAGCATGAGGGGGTCAACGCTTGAGGGCATGAAGGGTCAACGCATGAAAGGCCGAAGCTTTGGCATGAGGGGTCAACGCATGAAGGGTCAATGCCCCAGCATGAGGGGGTCAACGCATGAGGGGCCAGCCAAGGCCCCCAGCATGGGGGGTCAGGGCATGAGGAGTCAACGCATGAAAGGCCGAAGCCCTGGCATGAGGGGTCAACGCATGAAAGGCCAATGCCCCAGCATGAGGGGGTCAACGCATGAGGGGCCAGCCAAGGCCCTAGCATGGGGGGTCAGGGCATGATGGGGTCAACGCATGACCGGATTGCCTGTGTCGCCTCTGTGGCGTAATTCCAGACGGCTCGGGTGAGATGCTCTTCGGAGATCGACGGTTTCCTTACAGGCGGCCCGTGCGTCCTCACCCGACTACCCAACAGGAGCCCTGCGCACCATGTGCACGGGGAGGAGGAGGAGGAGGAGGAGGAGGAGGAGGAGGAGGAGGAGGAGGAGGAGGAGGAGGAGGAGGACGAGGACGAGGACGAGGAGCAGGAGGAGGAGCTCTGCCAGAATTGCCCAGGGCCCACCAGCGCCTCCAGGGCGCCTCCTCTGGGCGACCCCGAGAGGCCTGCCGTCGAGGGAAGAAGCACGGGGACCAGGACCCAGCTGTCGCGGGATCCTGTCGATGCCTATCTTGGTCCTGGCACATGTCGGCCGTCGCCCTTTCGCGAGGAGCATTCACGAATTGATGCTGACTGAGCTCGACGGTGAGCGATAGCGACACGATGTTTCTTCGTTCAGTCTTGGTCATGGTCCCCGTGCTTCTTCCCAGCCACCCCAGATGCATACAGGGGGCCTCCCAGGAGCAGGTGACCCTGGAGCCTGCACAGGGGGCTTCTGTATTGAGCTCTTGGGGGCTGCCCCCCGAATCTCCACAGGGGCTCCCCGGGGCTCCCCAGAAGGTCCGCCGCCGCGGAGGCCTCCAGCGAGGTACACCGTAGAGGCTACCGGGGGGCCTCCAGGGAAGCAGGCGCAGAGGCCTCACAGATCGCGCGGGCGCTGCGGGGGCGCCGTTGCACCGCCCACCGGGTCTGCACACGCCCTGGCGGCCCGAGGGGATGCGGAGCAAGAGGCGCACGGGGATACGGAAAACACAGGCGGGGGGCTGCGGAGCAAGACACACACACCACACACACACACACAGACACAGACACAGACACAGACACAGACACAGACACAGACACAGACACAGACAGACACAGACAGACACACGCACGCACCATCCCCCCTCGTGCGGTTTCTCTGCATCCCCTCGCGCGTCTCTCCACATCCCCGCGCGTTGGTTCGCATCCCCCTTGGGCCCCACCCCCCCCCCCCCCATCACCTCAGCCGCAGACTCCCCCCCTCTTCCTCCCGGCATCAGGGGTTAAGGACTCAGCGATCCCATTTGAGGCGAGCACTATTTCCAGGCCGCAGCATGGGCACCTCCTCCTCTCCGTAGCCATTGGGTTCAAGTAATTCCATTATGTCGAGTCAAAGCTGGACAGGTCAGCCATCGGTGGTTCTGTCAGCGCGGCCCGCGACACAAGTGCTGCTGGACAGACCCCCCATTCGTGAAAAT